ATTTTATATATTTTTAATATGTTAAAAGATTAAAAAATCAATAGCTGCAATTACATGTCAACACTCCCAAACTAAACTTATATAACCCTAGGAAAAAGTACAATTCAAATTATGAAATTATATATTTAATGGATCTTCCTTAGTTGATTTGTTAAAAGTATTTTAATATTTTAATAACCAAATTTTAGTTTTTATGTGCAATCCAAACTAACAAATTCCAATATCTAATAGTAATAATGACAATAATAATACTTCTTCCATCCAAAAGAATAAACATTTTTTATTTAAAATTTGAATAAGAAAAAGTCATTTTTTCATATTTTAACTTTATTATTATCTCTTAACTTTAATTATCCATCTTGTCATAAAAAATCTCTTTATTTTTTTTTTTTGTTGGTAATATCAATAAAAACATAAATTGTTCTTAAATTTTTAATTTGAAATAAAATTAAAAAAATCTATTATTTTGTGGCAGAGAGAATATAGAGAATGAGAAATTAAAATGTTAAGACATTCAATCACAAGTGCAAAATGTGTGAGATAGTGTGGATCTCAACTACATATTTCATCCACCCGTCTTGCTTATGTGATTAAATATACTAACCTTATTAATAGAATGTCCAGATTTTTCCTTTTTTGATAATAATATTTCATGTTGACCTATGATTCAAAGTAGTTACATATCCTCATTTTTTGCTTCAACATAAGCACAATATTATAATGGGGTTAAAGTAACTCATGACTTTTGGAAACTTTCTTTGTTATGATATGTAACATTTATTCTCCTCATGTAACACATGCGCAGGGGGTACGTGTGGGGCCATTAGCGAGTAAAGTAACCCATAAATAACTTGTGAGTTACTTGAACTCAATTTATTTAGTACACAAGTTAAACTTGAGTTCGTTCTTACATAATTATTTGTTAAAAATTACGTTGGATATTTATTTATTAAAATTTAATATTTAATAACTTATAAACTTGATAAGATTGAAAAGGTAATTAATAAGTTACATATTTTGAACTCTTTAAAACTATTAATAAAATGTTCAAATAGAATTTATGATTTTTTTTATTGATATACTTAATATAATTCTCTTGTTTAAACTTTTGGTACTATAATATTTCTAAAAAAATGTAAAAAAAATTTATGATTTAATGATTGATTATTAAAATAATTTAAAATTATTAAAAAATTTAAAACTCAAATTCAAATTAAAGTACTCATTTGCCCAAAGTCAGGAGCAAGAGCAAACTTGAACTCACTTAAATACTCGTGAGTTTGAGCACACACTTAACTATTTTAAACTTGATAAATATACAAACTCAACTCAAACTTAAATTTAAAACGTAGGTTCAAACACAAGTATCTAATTATTCGACTGGCCATACGAAGATCAAGGTGAAAAAAGCCTGGGCCCTTTTATTTCTAGTAATTGCGTGGTCATTGTGGAAATTAACGCTCGCAACAACTTGGTGTTTAAGGGGCAAGGCATCTTAGTAGATGACTTAGTTGAGGCAATTCGTGTTCGGTCGTTTTTATGGTTGAAAGACAGGTCTACTAGAGTCTTACATTCTTTATTTGATTGGGGAAAAAATCCATATTATTGTGCTGAAAAAACTTGAGGAAGTAAATGACGTCCTAAAAAAATAGATTGATAGAGTAGAGAAGGACCTTTTATAAGAATATAAATGGTAGAAGTACTCTTTTTACTTCACAATAATAAAAATTTATTATCAACGATTTGTTGATTTGAATAAAATGAGTTCGGTTTCTCTCAATCAAGATCTAATGCTGAAACTTGTGAATGGAGAGAAAAGCACTAGAAAAGCTTTCTCTTTATAAGATCAAACACCACTTAACTCTAAATTAATCAAAGCTCAATATGACTTCCAAATATAAGGGGCTTAGTACCAAAATAATAAATTATTTTTATTGATAAGAAAAAAAAAAGTCAAGATAGAAAACACTTAGTCCATGGAGCTAAATAGACTATACTAATGATGCACTTAAGAATAGTTTTAAAGTACATTTATGATGCAAGTTATACTTCCATCCATAGGCAAAATTTCCAAATCTGTCCCTAAATTTGGAGGGTATAGATAGATATGTCTTCTAAAAAAAGTAAGTACAAATTGTTCTTTTAAATTGTCAATTA